CTATATTAAAAGTTAGTATTGCCAATATAGGGGCCAAAAACAACAGAGGACCAATATATGGCAGGAAAGACATACAGAAAACTCTTCAATGCAATGTGATGACCATATTTTTGCAACCAAGAGCTAGCGGTCCTATTACAGCTTTTAGTTATATTTTGCTTAAATAAAAGATGCTCATGGGAAAGGGGAGGCAAGGAGTATTATAGACAATTGTTACATTAACTCCATGACATTCTAAGGTTTTGTGTGATGTTCTGGATACCAAAAACATTATAAAATGCTGAAAACAAAAATATTGTGAGATGTTATTATCTGAGCAGATACACACACACAGAGAGACACATATATATACACACACACACAGACACACATACACACACACACAACATATGTGTACATATACGTAACAGTTGTGGAAGTCAGCAAGTTTCACCTAGATGTATTGCCTCAGCACTCCAGAAGCTTAACAGAAGGCGCTCTCCTCATTTCATGACAAGTAGGACAGGACTGTTCAATCTTTTTATAGCCCTGTGTGCATATTGAGGAGTCTAGAAAGAGAGCGAGCAAAACTGTTCTGTAGCAGGTGCCAGATTTAACTACTTTGGGGGAAATTATTATGCCAATATAGGGATGATCCAGCAGTAATTCATTTCCAAAATCAAATATATATATCCTTAATTTAGTAGTAGGAAAACATTTGTGATATGTACAGAACAGCTTTTTCTTTGTTGTCTTTTTGGCATTAATAATACAGTATTTTTAACAAGGCATTATATAACATATGATTAATATTTTATTACCACAAGCTTGGGATGGATTGAGGCTAGAGGTGATAAAATTCAAGGTGTGTATCAGTTTTTACCATATGGCCTGACACATTTTAGAGCTTCAATTAGCCATCTGCCACATTAACATTTTTACAATACAACTACATTTTTGTGTATTTGAGTTTAGTGCTGTGTGTATTCAGATGTTAGCACCCTAGGGTGTTAACATATTGCAGACATTATTCTGTCATCCAGTTAAATAATGACATCAAGAAAATATAGCTGTGTACTAGAGATTAATTCTTCATCTTAAAATGAAATGGCTCTGTTGATATAAGTACAGTAGATAGCGTTAGACCCTTGTTAAGTTTATTTGCACAGAATAACTGATTCAGTACAAGGTTCCATTATAACTGGGAAAATATAATTATTTCAATATTTTAGCTCATTTTCTAACATGTATAATGTAATTGTTAGACATACATTCTTTGTTTGCCTTGCTGTGACTAAAATGTGTAGCAATAAAAAAATATATATATATTTTTTCTTTTGTTCCATGAAATATATTAATCATCTTTCTTAGGTTCTGAATGTCAAAGTGGCTTGGCTAGAAAGAAGATATGTCTTATCTGGTAGAAATGGATGGTCCGGATCCTTTCCTGTCAGGATTCAGGCCTAGTCATGGATTAAAAATATTATGGGTTGCTCTGATTACTTTTGTCAGAGGTTAAGAGAAGGAGTGTATCTTTTTGGTCATTATAGGTGTCTTGGTAGCTTTCAGTACAATCAGCCGTGGTATCTTGGGGAACCATCTAAAAAAGTTGGGAGTTGGAGACACTGTAGCTTTTGTGATTTTATTTCTACCTGAGAAGAAGGGGAATTAAAGGCTCCAGTCTTTAATCATGAAAGACCATAGCACTTGAAGCCATAGCTGCTCCAGTGTTTTATGCCACAGGATTTGATGTTCTTTGCTATGTTTGACAGACAAAGAGTTCTTTTTCATATGAACTTAGGGAAAATGGACTATTTGGAAAGTTTTCTCTGTCACAATTCCCAACTCTGCCATGGAGATTCATAGAGCTCCTTCATTCTTGATGCTTTGTAATATGCTTAATGATTTCAATCTTATGTTGGGTTGATTATTATTTTTTTATTATATGCTGTTTTTACGGGCTTATTCTATTGTATAGTTCCCAGAATTTCCAGGTTGACTTAGGTTACAAAAACAGTAAATAAATTTAAAAACGTTTATATATTTATTTTATCAGAAAAGGCAGACAAGGTGTTACTAGCTATACACAATATCTGATCTACTTGTAAAAATAAGTCCGCTGCCCTCCATGACATTTAAGGAGATAGTCCAGCATAAATTTCAAGGAATTTATGCTTAAGAACCTGTACATTAAGATTGCAGAATACAGTTTGAAATCACCTTAGTGAAGTATCTTTCTGCCAGTCAGCTGCTTTCAACCATATCTATTACTGAGCCTCATAGCATGTTTTATAGCACCTGGTGGGGTACATGGTTTACATTGTTGGATCCTGGTCCAAAATTAAATAAACCTCAATAAGTTTAATGGGTGACAGGTACCCTGGCTTTAATTTTTGGGTTTTTTTTTTTTATAAATTTACAGAAGTTTCATTTGCTTGCCAGGGACTGCTTTGGAAGCATGCAAAACTGTACAGGCAGACAGAGAGAAGACTATATTGCCTTTTTTGTTTTGCATATATGAATCACCAGTTCCTGCTGGTTAATGTAGGGATGAAAACAGAAAGGAGCAACAGTAAAAAGGGAACAGCCTCTTTTCCAAAACTCTTGAAACTTGGAAGCATTTCCTCACTCGATGCAGTTGATCAATCAGAAGTTTTGTATCAATTGCAGTTTCTAGGTCAAATAGTAGGTCATCTCCAAAGGCAGATTCACATAGAACACATTGTAGTAGTAGTCTGGTCGGGCAATGATCAGGACATGAGTTATTATCTTGATCCAGATAGGGTGGCAACTGCTATGTTAGCCAAGCTGAGCAAAGACTAACCTGAATATGGTTTCCATGTGGTTTTTTTTTTAATTTGATTTATATGCTGCCCTTCTCCGAAGACTCAGGGCGGCTTACAATGCGTTAAGCAAGTGTGAAGTGTTTAGGATTCACAAGTCACAAACCAACTCTTTCAGGAGAATTGTGACTCCATTCAAAGTAGATATTATAAGATTGCTGCAACTCTGTCTCTGTATGATTTACTCTGAGCTTGTTTTACCACCATTCAAATTCCAATAGGTTTTAGATACTCATTTTATTCAGAACTTCAGTGGCATCTTTGGTTCAGTTCAGGATTGGGATGAATGACTGGATGTTGTGAGCATATTGATGAAGACTCATCCTGAAATAGCAAATGATCTTCCCCAGTACTTTCATTTGAATGTTAAATAATTTGAGGGAAAATGACTAATTCCTCTTTAATGGCTAAGTATTGTTTCTTTCAATTAGCCAACAAAAGTGCATGAACACAGTATTTTTCTTTTCCTTAAGGAATTGCAGTGTGCCCTATCCTTATCTACAGGCTATTAAGAAGGGCTTTTGCCCCTGTATTATATCTTAGGATATATGTTTATACCTCTTGTGTCAGTTTATTATAACTACATTATACAGATCCTCTCTCCAAAAATCAGGGTGGATTTGATTTAAATCGAGTTGATTTAAATCACAATTTAAATCATGATTTAAATCACTAGTAAAAAGGCTTGATTTAAATCAACTCGATTTAAATCATAATTTTTAAAGAGCAACTGTCATCTCTGCTACTCCTTTGATCCACTGTTGACTCACTGATAGTCCCAGTGTTGCAGAATATACAGTCTCATGCTACATAACTAAGCTCCATTTCATGCTGAATAAACTAAATTATTTATGTATCTTAAATAGAAAACTATCTTACGATAGATTTTTACCCCAAAAGTTTTTTATTAAAATAAATTCAATAAAAATCAAAAAAATCTGATTTAAATAAAAAAAATCCAATTTAAATAAAAAAATCTGATTTTTTTGATTTTTTTTAAAAAATCATTGATTTTTATCCACCCTGCCAAAAATGCAACTCAAAACAAATTGAGAAAACTTTATTGATGAGAGATTACAGCCAGGAGTTCTGTTTACTGCAAAAGTCTTAAGTCTTAAATTGAAAGATAGTCTTAACCTTCTATTATGTGGTGTGGAATTCCTTTCCCTAAAGTGATTCCTTTATGGACAAAAGATTGTTTTTCCTAGATTATGCTAACAGATGATCATATAATTAGTTGAGTCAAAGTCCACTGATTTCATTTACACCAAGGCATTCCCTGCAGAAATCTCTTTTCCCTGTTCTTTTATCTATTGTGGAAGATATTCTTAAACTTGTTCTGCTAGGCCCATGTCCCTGCAGTAGCTTCATTTCATCATTGTTTAATGACTTGGATCCAGACTTTCTACAAGTGGAATTTCATTCACAAAGCACTTCCCCTGGAGGATAGAGAACGTAGTGTTTGTTTTGGTCTGTTCTGGTTCTTGCAACTATCTGTGTTAAATGAGAAGCTTCTATAGAAGGCTGGGGAACCATATTAAATGCAACTGTACGTAATGGAATGAGGAATAAATGAGAATTGCCTTTGTCCTCTTTCTTTTATTCTTTATGCAAATAGAACTGGAGATTTCTTAGAGAAAAAGGGAGCTTGATTTCAGAGTTTAACTTAAAGTATAGGCATTAATTTTGATATTCATTTGAATGTTTGCTTCTTCATCTTCTAGAAGGTTTCATTGGTAGAAAGCTATTCTGTTTTGGAGAGGGAGGTAAAATAGGCCTAATTGCAAATGTAAAAAAGCCAGATTTGTGCAACAAACAAAAAGTTCTTAAGTGCACGTGCAGTTGATGAAAAATAGAGAAGCTGCTGCTGTACAATGTAGGAAAAACTCTGATGTGTAGTCACTCTTGAACTGCTTTGTTGCCTTGAAAGTTTAGGTCTGTTTAACTGTAAGCTAATAAACCTGAACTATTGCTGCATTTTTGTGTTATGTTTTCTTCTTATATGGAAAATACCAATTTGTTTGTTTTAATTGATTTGGGTTTTTGAAAAATGTTGCTTTTACTTACCAGAAGTTTTTAATAATGAATTCTTAATATTAATAATATTTTAAGACTATCTCTCTTTGTAGATGCTCTTTTTTTTCCTCATAAAGTTTCTGATATCACTTTATTTTGCAGCTGGATCCCGGGCTTCATACACAAGTCAACATAGCCACCTGGGCTCAGAACTAAGGGCACTACAATCTCCAGAGCATCACATAGATCCTATTTATGAGGACAGAGTATATCAGAAGCCGCCTATGAGGAGTCTCAGCCAGAGTCAGGGAGACCCTCTTCAACCAGCACATACAGGCACATATCGCACTAGCACAGGTAGGTGGAAATGCAGGTGGTTTTGCTTCTTTCCTGGGGTAGGTACATTGCTTTAAATGATAATTAGCTGTTACAAATAAAGTGACTGAATTCACATGTGGAAAAATTTGAAATTGTAAGTGCATCAATAATTCCAACAAAGTGGTCTATTTATCTTTTATCTTTGCTGTCTAGCATTCGTTCCTTGATTGTTAATTTGCTAAAGGTGCATAGAACATGACTTTGGCATGTCATTAATATATCATTTACAATGGGATTGTTTAATAATTTGGAGAATGGGCAAATTAATGAGGCATTGAGCATTGAGCAATAAATTTCTTTCCCACTTCATATATATATATATACACACATATATGCATGTGTTCATCCATTTATTAATTTTTTTCTGTCCACTCCATGTAAAGTAATAATGTATTACAGTCAAACTTACAGAACCATTGATTCATTTGTAATGCAGAAATACATGATCATATATCAAACATGTTGGTATACAGTTCTTAATTGGGAAATGTTTACTTTACCCATGCAAAATAACTCTATATGTAAAAACCCTATAAAATTTTACAACTCTGTATGTAAAAACCCTAACCAAAACAGTAATGGCAATTAATATGTGAAAGAATCTGACACACCAGTCAAAACCAAAATTGTTTTTATATTAATATAAAGGGAATTAAAGTTAGACGTTATTGTCCTGTTATTCATTTTTATTTTGTTTTCTTTATAATGTTGAAATTTGCTCTCAGTTCAAAGAAGAGCATTTGTAAACCCAGAAGATTGGTTTGATTCTACTAAATTCTAGTCTTCTCTGTTGGAGACATATCTCTATGCTTTCATTTTTCTAGTCTTGGTCTTCACGCTTCCTACTTATGGCAGTTCAGTAGGTGGATACAATTAATCCTATTTTAGGCAGACTTGGATAGCTTGGAAACTTCTCCCTGAAGGTTGTTAGTTTAAGTAAGTAAAGTTTATAGTTCTTCCATGTTTTTCAGTCTCATGATTTTTCACAAATACTTTAGCTATCTTCCCAGAGTTGTACTCTCAGTATCATACTGAGTATTAATATGTACAATATTTGGCATCCATATTTTTAGAGTTTCTTATCAGCATGCAGAGAAATAGCCTCTTTGTTGTTCTTGATTCCTAATGTTAGAGTAACATTAAAATGTTAGAATAACATTAAAATGTTAGAGTAACATTAAAATGTTAGAGTAACATTAAAATCTCCTTCTTACATTGTCTTAATATCCTAAACATGTATCTCAAAAGTAAAAAGCACAGTACTAGGATAGAGGAAGCAAATTACAACATCCTGTTAGAAAGTCAATAAACTTGTTATGAGCGCTAAGAAATTCACAAGTTTGGGGGGTTTTTTTAAACTTTTTTTTTTTTTTTAGTTTAGGCAGATGTAGCAATTAAGACATTCTCCAGTTAGGGGTCCCAGGACATATCCAGGCCTGTTCCTGATGGTTGGAGCAGCCTTTTAAGATGGAATGGCTTGGGATCAGGGGCCAGATATCTAAATAAAATCTCTTCTTCTGAATATACATGTCTGTAAATCAAAATCTTAAGCCATTCTTAATGAAGTTGGAGAAGTATGGAGATAAAATAAAGGCCTCCAGTTATATTTCTAATGCAAAGCAAAAGATTTTAAATCCCAACTTTCTAAGAGAATATTACATTTGATGTTGGATGTTCTTTTCTCTGTTTTCTTTTGGATTTTATTATTCTTTTGTTCTCTAATGTACATAGAGATTGTTATGGGAGAAATTAAAAGAATAATAACTTAATCTCGTTAATGTTGTCTTTATACTTAAACCAGCAATTATCTTCACTAATGATAAAGTGATATTGAGCAATTTATTTGTTATGCCTGAAATAGTTTAATGTCTGGTTTCAGGCCCAAAATGTATCATGTAATACAATCTTTATTATTTCAAAAACATAATTTGAAATGGGGCAACTGATACTGCTTTTCATAGCAACCCCCCTCAAATTGCTACAAATTTGGTATTACTGACAACAAAGAATGAATGTATTATGAGTGTCCTTAGCAATTCAAACAGAAATATCTATTTAACTTCAGTATTATGGATTCTTCTGTTGAGAGGTTGATGGCTTAGTTCACATGTCTGATTTGTGTCAGTAAATAAAGATTAATAGCTGATTTTAATATTTTAACAAAATTAAACTTACTTGGACCCAATATGATGATTTAGAATCTATTAAAGAATATTTCTGCCTCAGCAAATCATTTGATGTGAAAAACAGAAAGATATATGTAGTACATAATTTCAAACTGGGGTGATTTTTGCACTGCTGATAATATATAATCAATGATGTGCTATATGAAAAGACTATTAAACATTATCCAAGCTGACTTTTCAGTTTAAGTGGACAGTGATAATAATGAAAAGGAAATCTACTCTATTAGCTAAACTTTTCTATATTTCTGTTATCCATTTATTACTTTTAGCAAGATAAATAGCCTGAAAGGTTGGGGAGCTCTGTTCTATAAGATGAATAAACTGCATCTCTGTTTCAGTAATTAGTGAAACTGCCCCTATATTACATGTAAAAATTCCTGAATTTTTCTTAGTATATTCCAATGTGGTATTCAATAAGTAATAATTTAAAGCATATCTAGTATGATGTTATATTGTGAATGAACTAAATTTAGTTTGGCGCTCTGAGTTCTCACTTTTTGAGAACTGGTGATTTGGAGGTAGCTTTTCAGTCAGAAAGATAAACTCAGTTTGCTAAACTTTCTCAATCCTATACCAGTTCCTAAATGCAAGGTTATTATTAGAGCCTTTCCCCTCTTCTGTATATTTGGAAAGGGATTAATGGCAGGGAAGATAATAGAGCCGTTAAGCACAAAAGTGAAATTTATCAAACTAAAATCCGTATCAAATATATTACATTAAAAAAAGCTTTTACATTAGTTTTTAGTCATAAATTAAAAACGTATATTGCAAATTTGTCTTTTCATGACTTGTAGCAGGCAGGAGAAAAAAGAGTCTCATTGATGCTCACCCCTAGTGCTGGGACCTCCACGCTCACACTCTCTCTATCTAAGTCCTGGGTTGTCTACATGGCTATATTCCCAAGTGAAAGAGTTATACCAATGCAAGTAATGGCTGTCACCAATTGTTCTCCAGTTTTCTCCTTTTAAGCTTACTAAGCCGAAGTAATTTAGGATGTATGTTGCTAAGATCAGAACCCCATATTGAATCGATCAGGCTTTACTGAGTGAAAGGAACTGAGCCTCAGCCAGGCCCCGGGGGCGGAGTCAACAGATCTTAAAGTTATACACACTCAGTATCAGGCAAGCTGAGGGATATTACCCACACTCTTGGATTCTTCCAAGCAGCGTGCCAGGAAAAAAAAAGGATTAACATAATCAAGTAAGGATTTGTGAGAAGTGTTTGTTACATTAGGCTGATATCTATGTATCTGAGCCAGCAATCAATAATCTGTAGTCTAAGCAAACGGAGATAAAGTAGCAGCTTCTGCTCTCTGGAATCAGGTTTCTCTCTAAGCCCCTACACTTTCAAAGAGCCTTAAAAGCCTTTCTCTCTGCCCAAACATTTGGTGATTGAAGCCCTTCTTTTTTTGGCCTTTCTGCCATCTTTATTCCTTTATTGTTGGTTGATTATTTCCTTGCTTTAAAATGTTTTATATGCATTTATATTATATACTATACACACAACATGTATAATATATGTATATATTTTAAAATATTATTACAGAATGGAAGCAGAGACATAACTTTGGATAGCAGTGTTAGTCTACTGCAGAAAAATCAGAAGGTGGTCTGTTAGTATCCTTTTGACTAATGTTAATTAAATTAATTAATTAGTTAATTAAATTCAATGTTAATTAAAAAGCATTAATTTTAATAAGCTTTAAATTAAAATAAATTTTATCAGTTTAACCACTCCATGCATCTCCTGTTTCTCTTCAGATCATGAAAATCTTTTGCCTTTTATTGATAAAGTTAACCACAGCTTACAAAAGCTTTTGCTTTTTAATAAAATGCGTGTGTTGAAAATGGACTATCAGACTCATACCTTGTCAGCACCCTGCAAAGAAATAAAGGATCCTTCATGACAGTAATCTGAACATTTCCTGCCAATTTCACCCTAGTACTGGTTTTAATTGCCCTATAGCTTTTGGGATGTTGGCTTTGAACTCCCTAAACCCAATTGCATGAAATTTGTTTCCTTAAGTTTCTTTGTTCTACTAGGGGCCTCCAGCAAAAGACAGCAATCCGTACTTCCTTTTTCCTGAATCCCCCATCTCACACTGAAGACCTCAGGGGACATAGACAGAGGATATTGAAAATGACAGGCCATTCACTTAAGCATGTTGGATCAACTCTGTAACCCAAGAATTTGACAAGACAATACAAGTAGTCATGGTTAACTCTCCTTCCCCAAAACAATGGCAGGGCAAGGAATTCTTAACTATAATGTGTGAATATAACAACAGAACTGTTCTGGACTTCTCAATCAGGGCAGCTGTTTTCCAGCACCTCTAAATCTAGCAATTAAAGTAGAAAAAAAGTATCCATGAAGTAGCTGCTAAGGTGAACTGAATACTGAGTGTATTATAGACCAAAGGATTATTCAAAGAGGTAATTTAAATATTTGTTGCATTTTTCTACTAACTCACTGTACTGTAGATGATCGAGACTACTTTTGGTTTTAACAGTAACAGTGGGGTTTTTTTTCCTAATCATTAAAGCAATGAACCACAATAAGTGTATGTGCTCTGTTTTCATTCTTAATATAATGGAAGATTTTTAAAAAATCACTGTTGAAAGTGGAATTATTTTTCCCTGAGATGCCTGCTCTGATGGTTCCAGAAATTAGTTTTATAATCTGGACCATAATAGATTTACAAGTGATATAAGAAAATTAAAACTTGTGTGGTAAACCATATCAGTGAGACATCTATCATCCAGTCACCAAATGAGGGGCAGAGGTTATTCCTCC